GCTTGTTTTTTTTTTTAGCAAATTATCATATTTCTCAATGACCATTTCTATTCTATTCGTATTTGGACATATCCAAATCTTTAAAGTAATGCAAAAATTGGTTCCTTAGACTATTCATATGATTGATAATAATATCTTTACTTACTTCTTTATCAGTAACACAAGTAATTTTAAAAGTGGGAAACATGTCAAAGTTTTCATACTAGCTATTCACACTTTTAATTTTTTTCATAAAAGCCGTAATCTTGGCTTTCTGAACAAAAGCATGAATTTTAGATCTTTGCATTGATTTATTTAAATCGCTTAGTCTTTGAAAAATATCAAATAATAAAGTACAGTAGAACCTCGATTATCCGGACCTCGGTTATACGGATTCGCGATTATCCGGGCATAATCGCGTCGGAAACATTATCGCTTTATGTAGTTCGTTTGCAATTTACTTGTTCTGACGTGCAGGTATACATTAATACGTTTTCTGTTTTGACGTGCATATATACATTTTCAAACATGCCAAATCGTAAGAGGGTGTGTTATCCCTTAAAGATAAAATAAATATTATAGAATCATTAATAAATGCAAAACCGGCCGTAAGTTAGCTGATAGGTATGGTGTAAGTACATCCACTATAAGCGATATTAAAAAGAATGCCGATTCAATTTTGTCGTACACTTGCAAGTTAGATAGTGTAGAGGGGAGTGAAAATCGGAAAATAATGAAGAGAGCGAAAAATGAACTCTTAGAAGAAGCTCTATATTGTTGGTTTTTAGAAAAACGATCAACAGGACAATCGATATCTGGACCTTTGTTCTGTGAAAAGGCTGTAATTTCTGCAGTCTTCCACGCTGTGGGCCAATAATTATATTGAAGGATGGCGTTGAAAATATTTGTTATATATAAAATACCTTTAGTAGGCAATTCTTTTATCATTTGTTCATACCCGGCAAAGATCTTTTTTTCATCTTTTTTATTTCACATAAGACATCATTTGGTGAAAAATGTCCTAACGGTGTTGAATGTATGGGTTGATTTACGAGCGCTAACAAGTAGCTTCGAATGCTACTTACAATTAGATAAAAAATTAGGCGGCGATAAATCGTTTGTGGCAAGTAGTGAATTGATTTTTGTTGATATCTATGTATGTATTTGTTATTTTTGATAAACAAAACATTATTCTTCATAATTTGGATTATCCGGATTTTCGATTATCCGGATGCCTATCGACAACAATTAGTCCGGATAAACGAGGTTCTACTATACTACATTTTGAAGTACATTTGTCCTGACAAAATTGCAGCGAAAATTGTGGATTTCTTGCACGTATTTTGCTGATTTGTTAATATTTAGTTTAATATTTAGTTTAATATTTTTAAAACAGCTTCGCGCCCCCCCTGAAACGGTATGGCGCCTCCCTAGGGGGGCGCGCCCCACAGGTTGGAAATCGCTGCCTTAGCATATCGCATATCGCATTTCGCATCTTTCATAGCGCGGGACCACTAGTACGCGATCGGGCACGTGCGCGTTGTATCACGAGATATAATTAGTAGCGTCCAATAACTATATGTATAGCGAATTTTTTTCGATAAATTTAGTCCCTCGCCTCGTGAGTATTATTAAAAAAACAAATAGAGTAATACCTCATGATTACAAAATCAGACTTATCGACAATTGCACATCAAAGCATAAAAAGTAGTTAAAAGACAAAAGACAAAAAGATAAAAATCCTCAAACGGGAATACACGTGAAACTGCACTGTGGCTGTGATAAATTATCAAGTTTATCCATATAGATGAATCTGTTTTTTTTTTCGAAATTTCAATATATATTTTTTATTCATCGCACGAAATAATAACCAAGATTAAGATATAGCTATAGTAAGATTCAAAGACATTTGATGCTATTTTATTGATATACATAAATAAATATAGATTATTACTCGCCGCATTCTTGCTAATTTCAAATTTTTAATCAATTATAAAATCAATCAATTTTTAAGTCAATTATAATTCTTCTTATGGCCAAAGAAATTAGAAGCCTAACAAAATTGCATGTGTCAAGTTTCAATTCCATACCGATTATCAATATATTAATATACATGCAATGTACAAAAGTGTTATGATTGCTTTAATGAACTAATAAATAAGGATTTGGCATGAAAGATGACAAGTTATCGATTGATATTTTTCATTTACAACTAACGCACAAAGTTTGAATCCACAACTAAGGACTCTTATTATTATTACCATTTTAGACACGATTCTGCTGGTGATACTTGCTTTGTAGTTGTGTGTTAAAATTGAATTTGAAAATTTAAAAAAGTACGACAAATTTTAAAGGGCAAACTTGTTCTGTAATTTTAAAAATTAAACAAAAAATTAAATGTTTTCACTGTTATTGAGTTCCGTATTTATCCACTTCAATGCCTAACTGCAACTAATAGTTGAGTTCATAAAGTTCGAAAAAGCGACTTTGTATTAATGTGCTGAATAACTAAATATATAACATACTTTTTCGATAGAAATTGTGGCTAATGACTAAAATATTAAAAACTATTATTATCACCAGCAGTAATAGTAATATTCAAAATCAATATAAAAGAAATATCTGAACATACCACTATTTGTTTATTCATAAATATTAATGACACTTTATTATTTGAAACATCTCAGTATTAAATAGATAATATGCAAAGTTTTGGCAAGTGTTTGTAACAGGTCAAGACACTTGTTTCTTTCAAATACGAACAATTAATTTCGAACGAGTTTAAAACTTTAATAGATGATTTCCTAGCATATTTTATATCTATCATTTTTTTATTTATAGTAGGAGAATCTGGCCCAACATGACAGAGAATTTGGTCCAACATGACAGAGAATTGCCCAAAAATATAATACGACGTTATGGATATTAGCATATTAAAAACATTTCAGAAGAATTTTTCGATTTATTACTTTAAATTTACATTTACGTTTTTATCGTAAATCATATAGTGAATAAACGCATTTTTTAACATCCGATTTTTAGTACGATGAAAGAGTTATCATGAAAAAATATTAATTTGAATAATAAAGCAAAAGACTCGTACAACTGAACAGCACATTTAATTATAAAAATAAATGCGTAAAATTTGTAACACTTATATTACGCTAATATTAAAGAATGCATATAACAAATAATATTTACATTTTGTTATGAATCTTTCAATGTTTTTTCTCAACAAATTTCCAAATATCTAATAATTTCCAGTGTGAAACATTTTTGTAGCTATGTGGAGCCATCAACGTGATAAAATTGTAGAATTGTAAAACGTATGATTGAATTATAGAATAAATGATATAAAATATTGTAATGATCATATCATACGTAGAATATATATATATATATATATATATATATATATATATGTATGTATATATACTTTGTATAGATATTTTATACGATCTCTCATACAAGGCTGTCTCTCATACTTCTGGCTGTCTGAGACGTATAAAATTTATATTAAAATTCAAATAAAAAAAAATGAAAACATAAAAAATTATTATTATTGTTAGTTAAATTTTTATGTAAGCTGTCCAGTATTAAAAATCTCTTGCGTAAACCGACGAAACTAGAGTAATGTCTTTATCTCTGAAAATTACGATTGGTTTTTCGTACATTGCCATTTTTTTGTAAATTAAAAAACAATCTACAAATGTGACTGTTAGCAAAGCGCTTTTCAACTATAAAAGTTTATTATTAAATAATTAAAAATAATGATTTTTTTATTGCTTAATGAATTTGAGAATAAATGAAACATCAGAGGTTATTATAAACTAATTTCGAACAACAAACAGCAAAATGCATACTAGAACAATAGCAAGCAAAAAGAGAGCAAGCGAACTAAGGAGGCCTTTAAGGACACGACAAACGAGATTACCTCGACCTAATATATTTCTCTATAAAGGTATGTTTTCTCAAGTCGATATTATGTTTTCAGCTTAGATTTCAGGCCGCAATTTAAATTGAACGAATGCATAGATCAGTTTGTTCAAAATAATTACAATATTTACGCCGAAATGAAATTATATTCTGATTTCTATAACCCTTTTAATAAATTTTATAAATACTTACACCAGTTATAAATAATTTGACTAAAATATTTTAAAATTAGTTTTCAATAGCGTTATGGAAAATCTAAAAACTCAGATTTTCTCTGGAATATGGACTATACAAGATTGAAATATGCATTGGTTCTAAATAATTCGTGTTTTTTATACTTAGAAGGAGAATATCTGATTTAGATTAGGAATAACCTGGTAGTTAAAAAATAATAAAAAACGCAAACAGTTTGCGTACTCAAACAGTTTCACGTCGATTTTACCCTTACTGTAATTTTTACGATTTTCGAACTTTCAGGTACCTTAAATTTGGTCGAGAAATACCAAATGTTCTCCTTGTGAGAGAAATGTCAAAGATTGACGGCGCTGAAATCTTACTCAATAATTAAATGGACCATGGTAAGAATATTCAATAATACGCTTTATTGTTAATTACTAATGAAAATGATTTGCTTTATGATTATTTATCATCAACACAATTTCATAGAAGCTGTATCGGTTAGTAAATTCGATTGCCGTGTCATGCGATAGAAATAGTGTGAGAAAGATATTTACTGTAATTTTTAATTCAGAAATCGTAACTCCATTTTCAGTTTTCATTTCATTTGAATGTCCTATTAGTCCACAAATATTGAGATAATATCGTATTAATAATTTAGTTAAAAATTATCATCGTTCTAAGTTGACAAATTGTCAATCTGTCACAGGCGCATGGAGTATAAAAATCATCATCAGTAAAACTTAAAAAATGTTTTAAGAATAGCCGAGTCTTTAAGCAACTTACCGCACCGAAAAAATTCTCTAGAGTCGTCGAAATGATCATAATTAAGAAACCAAAGAAAATACAAGAAGCACATAAATATATCGAGTGCGATTTACAATGTAATAGTAAACAAGATCACTTACCATCTGCGGTTTCTTGTGATTCCATTTGTGAATGTGAATTCTGACCGTCAGGACTCAGAGGCAGAGGGTTGTTCGTATCCATCAGAGCCGCGTTCGCGATCGAAGACATCATTGTGTGACTAGCGAGCAGTGAACTCATGTCCTCGGCGTGCATCTGCAAAGCATTCGCCTGAAAAATGGAAAAATTAAATCAATTAAACACGAGAAAATACAAACGAGTTGCATTTTATAGAACGACACAACACTAATAGGCTATTTTCGTACAATATTACACTTTTTTATATTCGCGAGAGTCCATGAATTCGCGATATGAATTCATTCAGTTCATACTAGAACCATGAAGGACATTATTTTGTGAAACATTATTAGAAGTAATCTTATTCGAAAAGCCCTTAAATCTAAATAATTGTATATATTAGTTCTTAATGTCATACTACCAAATAAACCGAATGTTTTCTATCGAAATTATTGTAACAGAGAGTTGGCAAACTATCATCATCGATCTTTACCAATCTGTTCAATATCTTTTATATAAATAAATATACTCTAATTGAAAAAAGTGAGTTATTTATGTGAAAGTAAATACCATAACCTCCAATGTTCTACAACTTAATTTAAAGATATTTAATATACGAGGTCTGTTCAAAAAGTACCCGGAATTACTAATAATTAAATTTCGCGGGTCTGGAGTGTCTGATTGTCAAAATTTTTTTTTATTGTGTTGGTATACATGCCCCTAAAGTATGATGAAATTTTCAGCTATATTCACTGTTTACTTTGTCTGTGGTAGTCGCTAAGGTTCGACGTGTTTTCTGAGCTCGGCGATTTTTACAATGGAAGAATTGAAAAGTCAAAGAATTTGTATTAAATTTTGCGTAAAAAATGAAATAAAGTGTTGCAAAGTGCAAAAATTCACCAGATATGGCTCCGTGTGACTTTTTCCTATTCCCAAAGTTGAAGAGACCCATGAAAGGACGGCGGTTTTCTTCGATTGAAGAAAATCGCTGAGAGTGCTCAAGGACATATCAAAAAGTGAATATCAAGGGTGCTTCGAAAATTGGAAAAAACGCTGGCATAAGTGTATTATATCTGGGGGGGACTACTTTGAAGGGGACCACATTAATGTAGACGAATAAATAAATATTTTTTTGAAAAAACGAAAATTCCGGGTACTTTTTGAACAGACCTCGTAAAACATGTTCCAACCATAATTGCGATATGTAAGTATTTTGCACGTTCCAATGCCGTACTAAAATCAGAATACCGGGATCCCGGTATTACGAATGAAAAATTTACTAGTCATATTTTTATTTACCGCAGTTGTTATATTGACATATTAACATTATTGTTCTAAAATTAGTACATATTAATTCTTTTATTACATAAAGAATAGGAGTAGATAGATACAAAAAACAGTGCAAGTAAACAATTATATATTAACTCGTATGTTACATTTTAGATTTAATAGGTTCGTATGGAATTATATTTAACTTATATTTTGTTTATTAAAATATGCTTTTAAAATATATAAACAATCAATTGTTTAATTTTCAAGCAAGGACCGAATTTTAGTACAAATATAACAAGCCGAAAACATTTGTTCGCATTCTACATTTGTCATAAAGAAATAATCCGAGTACATTATTAGTCGATATGAATTAGTACTTGCAAGTGTTAGTATAGTGTATTTATGTTATAATAAAATCATCATTAGATATCAACACATGACAAAGACTTATAGAAATTTATAGTATTTTCTGATTGTCAAATGAATAAATAAAATAATTCTATATGAACGATTTCTAAGAATCTACAACGTACGCATAAGCGGTCATCCTCCACGAAGACCAATATTATCATTGATTATCAAACTATATATCACTCGATGATTTGACTTGTAAATTTTCGTTATAATAAAATAATAAATAAATACGAATGATTGATGGGAAGAGAATTATAACGTGTCGATTGTATATTTTGTTTAAAAATCATTGATAACGAATCAGATATGAGGACAATGCACGTGGACGACTAATAATTTTTATAAATGGGCTCCATTCATTAGGTCCTATATAATATATAAACAATCGCTTTATCTTGCCGATGTGTCATAGTCGGCTGAGTTGAGTCGGTAATACACATACACAGTTGAAACTTGTTAAGTGTATTGCGTAAGTTCAATTTTTAACAAAATACTGGTAATCCCGAAATACCGGTATTTTTGGTATCAATACCGGTATTGAATACCGGAAAAAAATCATCCAGGATCACGGAATCCCGGTATTGTAAGCCCTATTCGTAACCCGTATTAAAGAAACAAAAAAGTAAAGTAGGTTGAAGTAATATTATGATATGAGTAGGTAATTTTTTTCTTCTCATTGCGGCTTGTTTGCAACCTGAATCTTCTCAACGATGTGCTAAAAACGAATGTTCAGTTTCTGTTAAAAACTTCATAATTTTCTTCGATATAGCATAAGTGTTTCAAATCTTGCAATATTTTATTCTTGCATTTACGAAAGCTTTAGTGTTGCTGTCAATCATTTACACGATAATATATTTTCAAAGATAAAACGTGGGCCTATGTAAAATTTCTAATAATCTCTAGGTGATAGATATGAATATAGAAAAGAAATATTTTACAATACAATAATTATAAAAATATAAATTTTAATTACTAATAATCGTATTTCTGCATTGGTAACCAACGCCTTGAATATTGCAAATGAGCGCGGACCAAGATTTCAAAAATAGATGAACAATGGTGCGACGATAGTTTCAAATAGATGGGTCATTACCCATCCAGAAATTCATGGTATTCACTAGCTTTTTTTTGTCTGACTCTGGTCTTCCGTTGGCTTATTTATCCGATATGCCAAGTTCTCGGATCATTGCGGGCTATCACATTTTTCTAGCCTTGACCTGGTCTAAACCTCGGGTCATCGTAGGCACAAGAACTAGCTCTCACCACCAGTCTTTCACTGGCCTAACTATCCAGCACGCCAAGATAGTAGTACCATTCACACCATATCTACAACTCCTCTACATTCAGTCTACACACAATTAAGTATAGCGTGTTTCCGATCAACTGCAAATAGGTTTGACGTCAAAACTAAGCACGGAGAGATGTGGGTTCATTGTTGGATCAGAACAAAACGAAATTTGACATGTCATAATATTCATTTTTGTAAAAAAAAAATTATAATACAATATTTATAAAGATGGAAATTTTAATTACAAATATTCGTATTTCTACATGCTAAATATAAATTCTAGTATATATCTTTAATTCTAAACTCTGAAAATTCAATGCTTTCAATAGCATAACAATGGACAGTAACATATTCAAATTTATTCCCTATTAAACAATTCTGAGAAGCAAGTGATAAATGAAAATGTTGTTGAATGTTATGCAACTATAAATAAAAAAAACACGGACATCAAAAAAGCATTGTGGAAGATAATTAGGATTATAACACTATATTCACAATTAATGCTACTGCACTAGATAGATGCAATCTGGCCTTTTATATGCGATTCCTGGTTAAATATAAGAAAAACTTTACAATATAAATAACTCAACTATCACTAATTATCAAGTCAAATAACTTTCGACGTTTGTATACCGTTTGGATAGAAAAAAATGTCTATCAAAAATTATATTTTTTAAAATTTGTTAAAATGACCAATTATCAAAATAGAAATCATCGGAAAGGAAACCAAAAGTAAGTTGATCAAGTTTTGTCATTTGTTTGTTTATGAGTCTTCAACTGTTTAACCTCATCAATTAATTTCAATAATGCTGATCGCGTATATATGCAATTTTGTAAAACTAACTAAATAAAATATTAAAATTTAAATGTATATAATATTCTTTCGAAAAAATATTAGAATAAAAAGACAAATTAAGCATAAAATATACATTTTATTAAAAATATCATCTTTTTGATAACGTAAAGACAAATAATATAAATTTATCTCAATTTATTAATGAATGTTAACGTTATTATTATAAACAAGTTTAATAAACAGCTCTATACTTATAACAAAACTTTTGATAACAACAGAGGTAGAAGTAATTTATTTTTCAATATAGTTTATAACGTCCATAAAAAACTTATACCACAATTACTTTAGTTGATAATGTTACCACTTGTGGTCGATGGATTAACTGGATTAGCTATATTTTCTTTTTCCGTCGCAGGGGCATTTTCACTCTTACATGCATGACTGTCGACCTCCTTCTCTTTACACAGCTTATGCACTTTGCACTTGTCGTGATGATTGACAATTTCTAACCTAAAATTGCCGTTTCCTTCAACAAAAGAAGTGCGAATATCTTGAATTTCATGCGACCACTTCCTGCAGTATATACAAAACATAATATTCTGTTTCTCATCATATTTAAGCCAAGAAAATTGTTCCAACCAATTTTGTCGAAATCTGCCACCTTTCCGGTTCTGGGTACTTGGCAATGAAGCTTTACTTGTGGCAACTGTGGAAGACGTTGTTGCAACACTTACCGGATTTGAAGTATGGATCACACTTTCCAATCTGGAATGGTCTTCGGATGGGTACGGCGCAATGAAACGAAGTCTTCTTTGATCTGTAATTATCGGTCCTGATGGCACTATAGTCATTTTCGATGAAAGAAGGTACTGCTGTAAAGACGAAGTCCGTGGCTGATTCGGCCATTCCTGTTTTTGAGTCAAGTTCGTACTAGAACCAGAAGCCTTCAACCAATCGGTGGAGTCATTAGTAGTTGGAGGAGGTCTATTCCAATCAGACTGCTGATTCATAACATTGCAAGTGTTTTGCCATTCACCGAGATTGATATTACAAACATTTTCGTTCCATTCACAGGTGACAGATGTGCGACGTTTCCTGCTGACAGAATCGCCCCAATCCGATTTTGTCTGGGAACAGAGAAGGTAAGGATTTTGTAAAGATTTTTCGTGAAGTTATATTTTTATTTATTTAATAATACACACAGTTCCCGTTTATAGGCGATTTATGCCCATAAAAAATATAGAAGATGTGTATTTTTTATAACATTCCTTCCTTCCCTGTTCCATATCTCATTTTAAAGTCACAGCACTTTTTCCTACTTAATTTTACACTTCACTGCTAAACAAAGTTAACAAACAGTTGCTCACTTTTATCTTAAGTAGTGAATTTATAAATGTTTAAGAGTATTACAAATAAAACAATATGAAATATGTGAAAGAATAAAGCACGCGATTTAAAAATAAGTAAGGAATCAGGGACACTAATTAATAAAATTAAAATTTTTAATTCGATGTTTTAGACTTTTCACTTACACACAAACAAATAGACGAGTCCACATAAAT